CCCAAGGCTCTATGAGTTGATCTGATAGTATGTTGCACTCGATATTTGTGTCTGAAGAGCATCTCAAGAAGGCAGGTCAGTCTGATCCACTTCAAATAACTTGTGGCAGACAGAGGCGTTTGCACCCAGAAAGAAGACACTTATGGAAGATGTTAGTATTCATGGAGTTACTGTTGATAGTATTGCCTGAAGTGGTGTGTAAGGATCCTGGCGTTCAATGTGACTTTCATCAGCCTCTTCCTATTCAGCATACTTATCATCAGTTTGGAGACATTAATATTGCTGGCATTGTTTCTGCCTACTTTGCATCTTCTAATCCCATTAAATTTATTGAAGATCCTTCTCAGGGATTTCATGATGGACTTATGTAAGTAAATCATTAATTTATTGTCAAGCTCTGAGTCTTTCTGGTATATTACCTGATGCTTGAAATGTTTCCTCTAATGGCAAAAAGTCCAGAAAGAAACATCCAAAATAGGATGTCTAGGTTTATTTTACGTGAAGTTATATTTTACTTTAGTCTCCAAGTAATGTTGAAATGGAGATCAAATCTCCATTTATAACACATCAAATCTAAATATCTATTAATATACAGGAATTTAGCTTAATTATGAAGCTGTTACTATCATTAAGAAAGGGGAAGCATATATTTCCCATGATCAGTTTTGTCATTTGATATTTCTGGTGCCAAAATGTAGCCATTTCCTTCTGCCTATAAGTCATTCTTAAAATCTGTTGTTTGATAGTGGGCCATTCTTACGTATAAGAACAAAGAAATAAGAATTATTTCACACATTCCACAAAATGTGTTGTACTGAATGATTACAAGTGCTATAATGTGTAGCAGACCTTTCTTAATGGTTTTTTTAATTGTTTTACAGAATAGTTTTTCAGAATTACCAGCATGTTCTGACTTTAGCATTTACTATAAAACAGATTAATGAAAATCCTCAGATCCTACCCAACATCACGTTGGGCTTCCACATTTTTAACAGCAATTTTAGTCCAAGCTGGACTTACTTCGCCTCAATGCTTCTGCCTTTCACTCAGGGAAAATTCATCCCTAACTACAAGTGTGGGGTCCCAAATACCTTGGCTGCAGTCATTGGGGCACCTGACATCTCTCTTCACATGGCAACTGTGCTCTGCATCTACAAAATTCCTCAGGTAAGATTTGCTGAAGACCTACACAATCATTCTGTCATTCCCCCACAGGTATCTACTGTATATGCTTCTCTCTATGAAAAAGAGAACCTTTTCTGATTCCTACATATTATTTTTTGTTTGATAGGATCAGTAGAGCTGCCTGAGTAATGAGTAAGTTTGAATAGGCAGTGGGGATATGTGACATAGCAAAACATTTCCCAATTCTAGAAATTGATCCAAGGTTCAAATGTGATATATATCACAATGAGACTACTTCGATGAAAAGATATTTACTGATATCTCAAGAGTGACATCTTGTTGATATTCCTAAGAATCCTTTCAGATTCCTAGATACTATTTTTCCTTGATAAGATTAGCATAAGTAATCATAATTCTGAACAGATGGTGGGGCTATTTGACACAGCAAAATATATCCAAATTCCAGACACTGAACTAAGATTCAAATATTCAAAATGAGACTACTTCGACAAAAATGTATTTACTGATACCTCAAGAGTGACATCTTGGTTGATATTTCCTAATAAACATAACCAGTTGCATAATGTTTCACAATATAACATCAAAGATACCCAAAAATGCAAATGATTTTTTTAGGCTCACATAGACCTTTGCAACTGCATATGTTTATCTTTCTGTAGTTGATATATGGCTCTGCTCCAGTCATGGATAAAGAGACTCAAGCGGTTTTCTTCCAACAAATGTTTCCGAATGAATCCCACCAACATAATGGCCTCCTGCAGTTATTGCTGTATTTTAGATGGATCTGGATTGGAATTCTTGTAGTAAAGGATGAGAAAGGAGAGAAATTTGTCCAGGAGGTTCTCCCCACATTTTCTGAGCATGGCATCTGCACTGAGTTCATAGCAGAGTTCCCAAATGTAGCTTTTCACAGCGATTTTACTGATACCATAGATGAAGGGCTACATATCTACCATGTCCTCATGAACAGCACTGCTAATGTGGTAATTTTATATGGTGAAATTCAGTCCTTAGCAGCTCTGAGAAGCTTCCTCCAGTTTTCAGAAGTGGAGGATATACCAAAGAAGAATAAGATCTGGCTTATAACTGCTCAGACAGATTACACCTCAGTTGCCGTTCATAAATTTTGGGATATCCATTTTCTACATGGTGCTTTATCCTTTGTAGTTCATACCAAGGAGATCCAAGACTTCCAGGAATTTCTTCAAAACCTGAATCCAAACAGCAACAACCAGCACGATCATTTTCGGAAAGATTTTTGGGAACAGGCATTTGATTGTTTCTTTGCAAACTCAAAAACTGAGATCTCTGGGAAGAAATGTACTGGACAGGAGAGGCTTGAGACCCTTCCCACATCTGTGTTTGAAACACTAATGAGTGGCCAGAGTTACAATATTTACAATGCAGTCTATGCTGTGGCACATGCTTTGCAATCTCTGTATTCATCCAAATCCAGGCAAAAAACATTTGTTAAAGAAGGGAGGAAACAGTTTCATAATCAAGCATGGTGGCAGGTAAGTCTGTAAGCAGAGTAGTACAGAAACCACCATATCTGCAATTTCAAGATCTGTCCATAGACTCTAGTGAACAATATTTTTTGAGGGATTGACATTAGGTTTAAATGTGAGATACAGTAATTGATGAACCAATTGAAATATTTATATGCTGATGTTAAAATTGTAAATAGCATCCTACAAAATTGTAACCACATCTCTTAGAAGAGTGGTGGCAAACCTATGGCACGGATGCCAGAGGCCGCACTCTGAGCCCTCTCTGTGGGCAGATGTACCATTGCCCTAACCTTGCCTCCCCCCATGACCCCCTCTTCATCAGCAGTCCCCCTGGAGGAGAGTCACCCCTGAGCGTGGCCCATGCGGAGCAGCGCTGCAAAGGACATGGCAGCCAGGCAGTGTAGACAAGACTCTGCGCTCATGCCCCATCGCAGACAGTTGAGGCTGTGCGGTGCGGGTAGAGGGCATGGCCACCATGTGCTGCTGGGCTGCCTGGGCAATCTGCAGTGGGCCCTTGAGACAGTGTGTTGCCCTGTGGGCAGGGGGGTGCAGGCAGAGTGGGGGTGGGGCAGGGGGTGGAGTGTGGGCGGGGCCAGCTTTTGGGCACTCGGTCTCTAAAATGTTTGCCATCACTGTCTTAGAATGTACTACTGTCCATGAAATTAACTGCCTGCAAAATTTAGAATGGGATATGATGATTCTTCCAAGCTGATTTCTTTCTTGTTTCATACCTATAGACAAAATCTTGCCAGACTGAGCACTTTAATATATGCATCCACAGTATAATCTGTGAACTATTCAGGAAGGAGTGTTTTCATCCTCTTTCTCTCACACATAATATTCAAACTAAGTTGTCTTTTACTTGTCTGAAATATATCCGCTCTCTCCAGAGATTTCACCTCCTTACTACATTCCATCTCTCTGCCATACATTCAGTCTATTAATACATAGAATGAGGTGCTCTATTCCATTCACATGATATGCAGTTGTTGCTTTTTCTTCTAGATCAGGGATGTCAAACTTGCCATGTCACATGATGTGTCACAATGTATCACACACTTTCATATCTTTGGAATAGTTGCTTTTAATCACACACAATTCTGTGACTTTGTAGGTTTGCCATAGCTTTCCTCCCAAGGAGAAAGCCTCTCTTAATTTTATGGCTGAAGCTACTATCTGCAGTGATTTTGTAGCCCAAGAAAATAAATCTGTCATTGCTTCCATTTCTTCTCCTTCTGTTTCTGCTCCTTCTGTTGATGGGACCAGATGCCATGATCTTAGTTTTTTCATGTTGAGTTTCAAGCTAACTTTTGCACACTCCCGTTTTATCTTCATCAAGAGGTTCTTTATTTCCTCTTCACTTTCTGCCATTAAAGTAATATTGTCTGCTTATTTGAGGTTGTTAATATTTTTCCTGGATATCTTAATTCCAGATTGTGATTTATCCAGCCTGGAGTTTTTCATGATTTACTCTGCATATAATTTAAATGAGCAGGGTGAAATATACAGCCTTGTAGTACTCCTTTCCCTATTTTGAACCAATCATTTGTTCCATGTCCAGTTATAACTGTTGCTTATTGAACCTGCATAGAGGTTTCTCAGTTGATCTGATACTCCCAGCTCTTTCAAGAACTTGCCACAGTTTGTTGTGATCCACACAATCAAAGGCTTTAGCACAGTCAATGAAACAGAAGTAAATGTTTTTCTGGCAATTTGTTCACTATTTCCTCTGCCTTTTCAAAAAATAATTTGTGCTTCTTGTGGTTCTTGGTCCACATACCGCTGAAGCCTAGCTTGTAGGATTTTGAGTATAACCTTGCTATTGTGTGAAATGAGCACAATGATATGGTAGTTTTAAACTTCTTAGTATTTATTATATATTTATTACAAGTCTTCTGGCTTAAGTAGCGTTCACAATTAAACTACAAAGGGTTTTTTTTTGCAATTCTATGTTAATTTTATTTCAGTAAGCTGATATGTTATCTCTTCCTTTGTGTTAGAATGATTGTTATGTCATTTGTTTTATACTGGTCTACAACTAAATTTTAAAAAATGTTTATATTTTCTTTGTTTAAAGAAATATTCATATGAATGTTTTGAATATATGAATTATGTCTCCCTCCCTCAGTCCTGTTCTCTCTCTTTTCCTTTCTGAGTATCAATATATTTCAGGTTCATTCTTTTCTGAGAAGTGTCAGATTCAACAACAGTGTTGGTGAAAAGATCTCCTTTGACAAAAATGGAGAATTCATTGGTGGATTTGATATTATCAACTGGATCACATTCCCAAACCAATCCTTTGTGAGGGTCAAAGTTGGAGTAATAGATCCCACAGCTCCAGCAGACAAGTTCTTCAATATTTCTGTGGATTCCACCACGTGGCCAGTAGGCTTTAATCAGGTTAGCTTTTTGACTCTAGATTGGTCTGCCTTCATTTAAATATCCTTAATGATGAAAGTCTCAAAGCATCATTTCTGACTAACCTATAGTAGGTACAAATGTCATGGGGAAGGAAAAATATCAGTAAGAATTTTTTTGAACTTTTCTAGCAATTGCTATTGTACCCTTTATTTTGCCCCCCTGTTAATTATGGACAGTGTTTTTCATGGTTTTGATGTAAAAAGCACAAGCTAGTGTACTAGATTTCATCAGTTAGCTGGCTCCAAAATTCAGAACTTGAGAAAACCAACTTTAACTACACAGCACAGAAATTGTCTTTGGACAGTGGGGATAGAATACCAATAATTGTAGATATTTAATTCATTATTATTTCAGACCAATTACATCAAAAATTATATTATCACACTACCTTATTTTTAATCTATTGATTGCACACTAACAGTATTTACTCCAAGCACCTCCTTTCCTCTCTGAATCTTAAAATATTCTTCTTCATTCATTGATAGGCATTACCTCTATCTTTGTGTAATGATCCTTGTGAGACAGGATACAGCAAGGCCAAGAAAGAAGGGGAGTCCTTTTGCTGCTATGATTGCCGCCTATGTCCAGAAGGGAAAATATCAAAGGAGAAGGGTAGGAAATTTGCAAATATAATGGGACTAAGTCAAGATGGCATAACATTATAATTCCCTATATCAATTCACATACATTCTTTTTCAGACATAGATGACTGTTCTCCATGTCCAGAAGACCAATATCCAAATCCTGACAAAAATATGTGCCTTCCAAAGAGGATCACCTTTTTGTCCTATGAAGAGCCCATGGGGATCAGTCTGACTGTTCTTTCTCTTTGCTTCTCATTGATGACAACTTTGGTAATCACAATCTTTGTGAAACACAAATTTACTCCCATTGTCAAAGCCAACAATAGGAATCTCACTTATTCACTCCTAGTTTCTCTTCTCCTTTCTTTCCTTTGTGTCTTTCTATTTGTTGGGAGACCCAATATGATTGTGTGTCTCTTTCGACAACCAGCTTTTGGCCTCATCTTTTCTGTGGCAGTTTCTTGTGTATTGGCCAAAACCTTTGTTGTGGCTCTAGCATTCATGGCCACCAAGCCTGGTTCCAAACTGAGGAAATGGGTGGGGGGAAGAATGGTCAGTTTAATTCTTCTATCCTGCTTCCTTGTTCAAATTTGTTTTTGTGCTGCATGGCTGATAACCTCACCACCGTATCCAGATTTTGATGTGCATTCAATACCTGAAGAACTTATCCTGGAGTGTAATGAAGACTCGATCATGTTCTACTGTGTTTTGGGTTTTATGGGTTTTCTTGCTCTGGTTAGTTTCTCTGCTGCTTTTCTAGCTAGGAATTTACCTGACAGTTTCAATGAAGCCAAATTCATCACCTTCAGCATGTTGGTCTTCTGCAGTGTTTGGCTGTTCTTTATTCCAACCTATCTAAGCACAAAGGGAAAATATACATTGGCTGTGGAGATCTTCTCAATGATCTCCTCCAGTGCTGGCTTATTGGTGTGTATCTTTTTCCCCAAGTGTTTTATCATAGTAATCACACCCGAACTGAACAATAAACAACAGCTCATGAAAAGAAAGTTTTAACAATTCTGGTTGCCTGACATCATATATAATGTATGTTGGAGAACTTATTCACTTGTACATTGAAGCCACAAAGCAATATGCAGTTAGACTGGCCTTCTATGATACCCTGTCCCCTAGGACATGGATAGTTTGAAACTCTTTTTCATTCTGGAAGTCAATTATAATTGGGGACCATAAAAATATATAAATAAATAAATAATAGGACAAATTGATTTGTTGAGATATTTCAGTTATTTGATGGACAGTTCTGACTAAATATATAGATTAAATGTGAATTATATATTTATCTTTAGTGGTCATCTTAATTCATATGCAGACTAGAATGTGTAAAAGAAGGGGGCATTAAACACAAATGAGCCTTTCATTTAAATACGGAAGAGCTATGAATTGGGTTTTTTAAAAAATATTTTATTGGTTTTTTTACATAACAATCCTAGTGCCTGGTGTACAGTGTGTTGTCTTGGTTTATATATTTGAAAAAAAAAGACAATGATAATTTAAAAAAAACAGTCAATAATAATTGATTTTGATAATTCCATAATTAGTATATTAATAATATATTTATTTGATCTTCCCTTCTCCCAATTGTATTTTCCTTCTTCAATCTTAAACAGATATAATTCTTAATATTTTCAATGTATAAATGATTAAATATAAACATTTTTTTCATGTTTGTTCAGATAATGACAACTTATCATCAGCTTATATTATTCTTATAGAAATCATCTCATTAATTCACTATGTATCCTATTTTTGTAGTTTTTGTTTAAGCTTAATTTCCCCTTTATATTTAATCCATTCTTATCAATCATGATTTTCTCAATGTTAGTCATCTAAATATCCAATTTTTCCATGTAATTACATCATCCCAATATTTTCATATTTCATACATTATAAAAGTACTATGTTTCTTATCTATCTTATAGCATCTGTGTATAACATCCTTTCTGATCAGCTTATATTTCACTTATATTTATAAAAATTATATCTTCCCAATATTTTTGCATTTCATATATTGTAAAACATACTATACTATTTATATCTCTTATCCCTTTTGTGTAGAGCCCCTTTATGTTCAAAATTCTCTATTCTTTTAACCATATTCAAACAAGTGTTTACTCATGTAATACTCCATCTGGTAGGATGAGTCGAATCTCTTGAATCTGTCTCTAGCCTTCTTCTTTTGCCGAGTAGCTTTCCAAGTTGATATATTCTGCTTACCCTGCAGTTTCTGTGTTTTTGTAAGTTTTGTTGAGAGTAAAAAAGATAGAATAAGTAAAACATATACTTTCTGTCTCCCAAACTCTGATGATTCACCTGGGAATTCTATAGTCCATTCCATTTTTTTTGTTATGTCAAAGTCATGTAGATTTTTTTTCTATTTGTATTAAATTGTTTGCAGCTTTGTTCATTTGATCATGTTCTTCTAGTTTGTTTTCTATTATCTGATTTTTTTGTTCATTCGCCGTCATTTTCTAGGTGTTTTTTTTTACTGTAGATTTAGATTAGAGATGTGCTTATTTATGTCATCAAAGTTGTTTCTGATTTCCTCGTGGCTTCAATTTATTGTCATTTGTATCTGTCGTAACATTATGTACATTTCCTCCTGGAAAGTATTTGTCTTGCCTTGAAATATTGCTTCTGGAGGTCTTTGATATTCCAGATTAAATATTTTAGGGGTAAATATTGAGTGTGGTGTCCTGTCATTTTTTGATAAGTGTATGATATTCATGTTGTCTCCCCTTTTCAAATAGTCTTTTATCAATATTTTAGTCTCTATAATTAGTTATCCAACCTATCAGTCTCAGAGTAGCACAACCCAATCTCAAATAGCTCTTATCTTTATATATGGTTTTTGTAGTCCAATATATTTCCAATGATCAAGGCTTCAGTGAAGGCAGATATATTTTTTATTCAGGGGTCAACTATCAATCAATAAAAGTTGCAATTCAGTATGATTAGCCACCTTAAGTCCTTCCACTAAATTCTCCTCTAAAAGATTTGTCAAGAGCCGAAGTTTTTCTTTTTCTGTAAACAATTCTTTAACTTAGACAACAGTCCAAGTATTTTTCTTTCAGACACTTTTTAATCTTATGGCTGGCCCAGCTCTTTCTTTATTCCCAGCTGTCTTCTTGAAGGTTATTAAAGTTCAAGGGAACAGATTATTCTTTGTTTCTAGGCATTTTGCCAATTTCTGAGTCATTTATTGTTAATGTTCTGTGCTCTGATTCTCCACTAGGTGTCAGTAGTTGTTTATTTTCCATTTTTTCAGAGAGAAAGTTATTATTGTTATATATTTTTTATAATTTCATCAAAACCCTTTAGGGTATAATCTTAACAGGTTTTTTTAGTTTCTAGATTTATCTAAACTGTAGTATTTTAAATTTAATTTCCATATATTTCTTTCCCCCTTAGTATTAATTCACCGTTTCCATGTATGAGGGAGTGGGGGTATAGTCCCCTCCTTCCACTTTTTGAGGTTTTCTTGCTCAACTGAATCCAAAGATTCAGTTAAAAGGTAGAAGAGAGAAGATCGATATTCTCACCAATTCCAAACATGCTGTTCACCGATGTTCTGGTTCATGCTCTTGGACTTCGGCTGCAAGTAGCTTGGGTGAAACGCTGATATACAGCTAGTCTTTCTCCTGTTGGGTCAGATGGCTTTCCCCAGATCAAACAGAATGACCACCATCATTTTGTGATCACCAGGGCACACCTCCTTCACGGTCACCTTTTCAGGGTAACTTCAGACTCATTTAGGGTCCCCCTGGCAGGGTGAAACTGGCTGTGGGGAGTGGAGCTCTACTATCCTGTGGCCGTGTGCTACAGCGCAAAACTGCAGGAAGACCTATGAATTGTTATTGAGGCAATTGACTCTGGACATTCTCTAGTGCACATCATGTGAAATGGTCATCTACAAAACATGGGTTAAAGATCTTCCAGATAGCCACATGTCTTTTCCTCATTAGCAAAGATCAATGAAATCTTTGGCACAAAAACAATTCTAGAAAATCCAAATAAATTCCATCATAAGTCCAATACATACCAGTATCTAATATACATAATGGTCTCCTTCTAGGAAATTCAATCAAGTAAAAGATGAATCCGTAGAACAGCATGTTCCTGGGTCTTAAGTCTATTTCAGTAGATAGAGTTTTGCAACACTTGAATGAAAGGCCCATGGTGATTCTAAGTTGCAAACTATTGCCATGCTCACCGATGTCAGATACTAACCTCCCAAAAAATTGCACAGATAGATGAAAAATAGCCCAAGAAAGTGGCAGATGACAGCTGATGGTCACAGATGGACACCTCAGACTAAACAAATATCATCACATCATGGCAAATCTCAAGGAACAACCAGAATAGACCATCATCCCAGAGCATATAGAAAGACTGGTGACCACAATCAAGACATGCCAGAAAAAGGAAAGACAAATTACAAACAAAACTACTCAAACTAAAACCAGAATAAAATAGGTACCAGAGCCCAAGTGGGTAGTCAACATGTCCAGCAGAACACAATGTTTTATGGAAAAGCTTGATTTTCTTTTAACTCCTAACTTCATTTTTGCTGCCTAAAATAATAATTTTTTTTTCATACCCTCCTATTATACCTACATGGAAAAAGAAGTAGTATCTCCAGTTATGGGCCCTTGGTGTTCTTTGTGAGCTCTTTCGAGGACTGCTTTGTTCTCTTCTTTCAATTAGTTTTCTCTTCTTCCTCTGGTCTGTGGTGTAATAGATTGTCTGATGCTTTCTTGGTCTTTGCTGGAGGTCCTGTGGTTTTAAATTCTACTTCTAAGCCTGCAAATAATTCTATTTAATTAGCATCATCTTTGTTTAGTTTAGTTAAAAGAAAATAGAAAAGCAGAGTTTAAAAAGCTGCTGCTACTGCCACACCAAACTTGCAGAAAAGAAAAGAAAAAGACAGGGCTGATCCTTGGGGAAAATTTATCCTCCCACAAATGCTGAAACAAAACCCTGGTTAGTTTTATTCTTTTATTCACTATATTAAAAGCTCATTGCAAATCCCCAAGGATAATATCAATTCTATTAAAATGTCAAAAAGGACAACAAAGTCAATACAGCTCAATCAGCTGATAACTGTCCTAGCAGCTGACTATTCATAATTAGCAGATGGAACGATCTGGGCTAAGGCCAGGTTTTTCTATTGTAAATTAGTGCATCGTTCTGCACCAACTCTCTGCAAAGTACATTAATCTTCCTGAAGGTGTTCTCTGTGGCTGTTTTCATAAATCTGAAAGTGGTATTTGATTGAAAGATTCTAGCAAACATAACTGCTTCCTTCATAGACCACTGGCTCCTGCAACTATAGGTAGATCTTAAGTTATGAACAGTTGCTTAGTGACAGTTAAAAGTTACAACAGACAGCTCTAGGACTACTTATGACCAGATTCTAAGCTCTGATGGCTGATCCCCCTCCATGGTCATATGGTCACATTTTGAATGCTCAGCAATCCTCAGCATTTATGGCTGTTTGCAGTATTTCTACAGTGATGTGATCCTGATTAATGATGGGTTGTTGTTTTTTTGCTTGAAACTGGTATTTTCTTTCAGTTTCTATCAAAGAAAACCCCATTTCAAACAATGGATTTTTCTTAATGACTGCCATGTTCACTTAATGTCCATATAAACACCGGAAGATTTTAAGAAGAGACTGGACAACCATTTGTCTGAAATGGTATAGGTTCTCCTGCTTGAGTGGGGGCTGAATTAGAAGACCTCCAAGGTCCTATTTATATTTCTATTCCAATTCTATTCCAATTCCATTCTTATTCTATTCTATTCTATTCTATTCTATTCTATTCTATTCTATTCTATTCTATTCTATTCTAGTCTAGTCTAGTCTAGTCTAGTCTAGTCTAGTCTAGTCTAGTCCAGTCCAGTCTAGTCTAGTCTAGTCTAGTCTAGTCTAGTCAATAAAAAGGTTATATAATCAACCACAGCCATGAAATGACCCACTTAATGATGGCATGACTTACAACCATAATTCTGGGCTCAATTATGGTCGTGAGTTGAGGACTTCCTGTTAGTTAGAATGTTATATGAAGAGATTAGAACATAAGCCAAATGGCTGATTAGTGGAGAACTGACTCTCTGTATTCCAGCAGAGAGAAGAGAAGAGAAGAGAAGAGAAGAGAAGAGAAGAGAAGAGAAGAGAAGAGAAGAGAAGAGAAGAGAAGAGAAGAGAAGAGAAGAGAAGAGAAGAGCTATATTAGTGTATATACCCATGCATATACAGTGGATATAGATTAGGGTTTCCTGTCTGAGCAGGGGATTGGACTAGCAGACCTCCAAGGTCCCTTCCAACTCTATTATTCTATTATTCTGATATATTTCAGTTATGGGTTAAAGAACTGGAATTTTCAATAAAGGTACAACAGTGGGTTCGGGTCTTTAAAAAATTTAAATTAGTAACTTCAGATGTGAGATGAAGGCTGATTCATCAGAAAAGCTGTATATAGGTGTCCCCAAAGAATGTATTGAAAGAGTGATAAATCAGTTTTTAATGCTGAAATTTGAGAGCTCCCTGACTCGCATGGTATGGCCATGTGAATATTATATATCTTTTGGAAACAGTGATAGATCTAATGATAGATTTATGGGAAAACTTTAAATGTTAAAGATGCTAATGTAATGTTGAATTATATAACATAAGTTTGGAATCTGTTTACCATTGTGTTTTCTACAGGTCCTTGCAATCTGCATTTTCTATGGGGCAGTCTATTTAATCTATTTCAGACAAATTCTCAATTTCTCATGCTTCAGGATGATGTAGTCTGTCTCCATATTGTATACAGTGGTCACCCTGGCTCTAAATACTTTCATTTACATCATTGGAAATAATGAAGTAAAGGATCCAGTGTGGAAATTTTTAGAAGTAAAGCTCACAGGCCCCCCAAATCTAATGGCATACGACTTTGTTGATAACTTATTTCTAAATGTCTTTGTTCAAAATCCACCTTTAAAGACAATGTCCAGGTATTTCTTAAGAAGCGACTTCAGCAAAAATGGAGAAAGCAATGGGCAACTTGGTAGATTACCAGCAGAAATTTTCTTCTCTTAATTTGCAATTGTATGAGCAGCATGATGGGGCTCTCACCTCACAATCAGAAATCTGCAAGTTCAATCCTAGATAAATTTTCAGCTCCATTCAGATACCCCAAGTCCACCCCAATGCAAGGGATTACAGGGTCTTAAAAAGAAAAAAAAGTTGCAATTATATGATGATTTCATAATAAAATGATCGTAGGAAATCTTCTGTGGTCTACCACTATAAGCCTACAACTAGCAATGTGTTCCCAATCACTAGCAACCTACTTGGAATTATTGAATATAACTTCTGAATATAGTTCAACCAACCAACCAACCAACCAACCAACCAACCAACCAACCAATCAGAATAGAGCTTGAAGGGTCCTTAGAGGTCTTCTAGTCCAACCCCCTATTTAAGCAGGAGACCCTATACCACTTCAGACATGTGGCTGTCCGGTCTCTTAAAAACCTCCAGTGATGGAGCACCCACAACATCTGAAGGCAAGCTGTTCCACTGGTTAATTGTTCTCATTATTACAAAGTTTTTCCTTAATTCCAGGTTGCTTCTCTCCTTGATTAGTTTCCATCCATTGTTTCTTGTCTTGCCTTTTGGTATTTTGGAAAATAAGTTGATCCTCTCTTCTTTGTGGCAGCCTCTCAAATACTGGAAGACTGCTATCATGTCACCCTGAGTCCTTTTTGATTAGGTATTTATTGATGAAGATTGGTGGGTGGGTGGATCACTACATTTATCATAATGCATTGACTTTGCATAGTTATGTGTTTTCAATAAAATCTGTTTACTAAGCCTTCTACTTGGATTATGTTCTTGGAAGTGCTGTGTGCTAAAATAGTGTGGTACATTGGTTGACATGTTGGGCCAGGAATGGAGAGACACAGATTCAAGTCTCCCTTAGTCATGGAAGCTCACAAATGGTGACTTTGGGTGGGTCACAACCCTGACAAAGAGAACTTGTTATGGGGAAATATTGGAGGTATTTCAATCATACAGGTAGAAAATCATTCTTGACATTCTTGTCTATCTGTTCCCTGAATAGTATCATTTACATATAGGACAGTTTATCTGGAGAGCTTTCCAAATGTTATAAGTGCACAAATCTTCTATAAGAAGAAAGAATGAAATCCAGAAAAATGGAAGGAGTGAAGAACAGAGAAAAGTGGCTTAGTGAAGAGTCAGATTATGAACCTTCACCCCTAAAAGGATGGTTATATATTGGAACTTTTTCAAGTCTATATATGTTACCATTATATTTACCATCTGAACTCTCTTAATTTGTCGATTCTAGATCTCACATCTTGTAATCTCCACTGTCAAACAATATACCATTGTCACATAGAATGATTTGTCTGAAACGGTATAGGGTTTCCTACTTGAGCAGGAGGTTGGACTAGAAGGCCTCCAAGGTCCTTTACAACTATGTTATTCTGGTATCACCATAAAATCCCAGAGTTGCAAGGGGATGTTCAGCCCACTGAATTCCACCTTTTGTATCCATATTGGTGGAAGAATGAAAACCGATTTATCCCAAGGAGATAAACTCTCTAGTTGTCACATCAATACAACTAGTCATGAGAAGGCCACTAACTTCAATGAAGATTAATTAAAGGGAGGTGGAGATGGGACACACAATAAATGTATTGTGATTTCATAAGATATATCACATAATTATACTGCATGTCATTAGATAATAATATTGTCACATACAGGACATGATTTTGGCATCCTCTGATTAGATATACTGGCTGGGAAATTCTGGGAGTTGAAGTCCACAAAATGTAAAATTGCCTGCCTTGAATAACATTTTAGTAAAGTGTAAAACATTTGATTTACTAAATTATCTTGCTCTTCCCCACCTAAAATTATTTCAAATCTATGAGTTCTGAAGATACTATATATCTTCACCTTCACCTTGAATCCAATAGAAAAATGAATGAGAAAAAACAAAAGTGGAAGAATATTATTCTTGGACTGTTAAGCTTTCCATTTTAGAACTCTCCATCTTTTGCAATTTTATAACATTTCACATTTTTAAAAAATAATCTTACATTATTCTGTTTTTAATGCTTAGTTTTATGGATTAATTTGCATACCATCCAGTGTCCCTTTCAGGGGGAGATGGTGGGTTTAAAAATATGAAATATAATAAATAAAAATCTCAGTAATGGAGAAGAGAGATAATTCTTGAAAAAAGTATCCACTAAAATGTAAAACCTCTGATTCCTAATGTTTCTTCCCCCCTAAAAACATTGGCTGAATAAAATCTCAACTGTTGTCCTTTGTTTAATTTCTCCAATTTAATCTCTTTGAGAAGGTGGAAGAAGGGGAAGCGAAAATCCTAAGAAAATGATAAAATACTGCCTCTAATGAATTCCTTCCCTGAAAATATTAATAACAGATCCATACGTTGGTATGGAGGTTACTATTTAACACAAATAAGATTACCCTTGAGTTACGCTATTCAAATCATAAATTTTAAGCACAAAGACTGGATACTCATGGGAAATTAGAAAGACATGTCCTCAGAGATGGTACCCCAAGTTACTGCAGGAAATGAACAACTTTTCTATGATGCAATCTTTTGGAACTGCATTAAACGTTAAAGAAAATATTTTAAAGAAGTAAATAGGATTTTCTCAAAGGCAGACCATGTTGTTATCTGTGGGCAGATCAGTGACTGATTTGATATCGAGATGGAGTAAAAAAACACATGAAGAAGAGATGAAAGGTAAGGAACAACAGATGAAAAACTCAGCATAAGTGGCAGAAAGGTTTATGCCTTTTGCCGATTGTAAAAGCACACAAGGATTCCCTGCATTAATAGTTTAGAATTATTACTGGGTAATTTCACTTCTTTGATAAAGAAAAGACAAGATCTATATTTGTGGCTAAATGAAAAGATCTTATAGACATTTGCATGTAACAAAGAAAGTATTTATGATTTGTGTTTTCAATGGTTCAACTAACAGAAAAAGGTGAGAGGGTTTTTTTTTGTGTGTGTGTGTGTGTGTAATCATAGAGGTAATTTTGTAATCACACTTGTATTTGCTGCAAAGGAAACCAGAAACTTTTTCGTCCTACTTTTTATCCTTTTGTTTTACATTTTAATTTTTTTTCCTAATCTCTTTATCTCTGTATTCTCTTTATTCTGTTAGTTTCTGTTAGTTTTCATGTACTCTTCAAAATTTAATTATGTATATACACCCATAAATTCATAAACATACACTGTATATGTATTAGATTTTACAATATATGTGTATTGGATTTTTGCTTTAATATGTAAACCTAAAATATTCTGAAGAATCCTTCCATTAGAACATAAAGTTCCTTTTAGAGGGCTCAGAATTTCCATGAAGACATTTAAACATAGAATAGTCCTCTGTGTGTAATGCACGTTCTGCCGGAATCCAATGCTGCTATTTTAATTTCCAATAGGACTGGTCTCTTTCTCTTCTGCTATGTTTTTGATCCCATATTTTGTGGGATCCCATGGAGGGAACCTTTAAAATTCATGATTGTGGTTTCAACATCTTCTGTGATCCCAGCCAATCTTGTCTTGCTTGGCAGGAATTTAAGAAAACTTTAGTAAGAACTTAGCTTTTTTTCATAGCATGCCTTTATAACAAAGCTAGCACCATAAGAAATAATTGAAGGAAATATAGCAAAAGGTTGACTCAATTCAAATTCTGATTGCTTTGGTAGCTAAAGGGAAGAATGGATTTGACCAACTGTACAAGACCTGCAGATTTCCTCCTTGTTGGATTGTCAACTTTTGGGAGTATGGAAAGCATGATGTACACCAGTGTCTTTCTGCTCTACCTCCTGAGTCTGATGGGCAATGGGCTCATCATTATGATGGTAATTGTGGACCACCACCTGCAGAAACCCATGTATTTCTTCCTTAGCAACCTTTCTTTTATAGACATTGGACATACCACATCCTTTATACCCAAGCTGTTGCTCAATTATCTCTCTGCTAGTAATTTCATCTGTTTTTATTGCTGTATAATTCAGTTGTGCTTCTATTTTCTTTTCGGGGTCACTGAATTTTTCATCATCACTTTGATATCCTTGGACAGATACGTAGCCATTTGCCATCCTTTGAGATATGCCACTATCATGACTTCGGGGGTTTGCCTTAAGCTGGCAATAGCAGCCTGGTTTGGAGGATTTATCTCCATAATTTGTCAAGTAGTGATGATTGCAAACTTGCCCTACTGTACTTCCAACATTATCAATCATTTCTTTTGTGATGTTGGACCTGTGTTGAAGATTGCAGCAGGAGATACACGTATTATTGAAACCCTTGGTTTCCTTGTTTCTGTGGTTGTGATTATGTCCTCCTTGCTTTTCACCCTCATTTCTTACCTCTTCATCATCTTCACCATTTTTCGAATGTCTTCAACCTCCCGACAGCAGAGGGCTTTCTCTACGTGTGCTTCCCATCTGATTGTGGTTTTTATTTTGTATGGGTCAGTCTTTTTCGTCTACCTAAGGCCAACAGTCAAGAACTCTTCCTTCGGGGTAATGAAGGTTGTCTCCATTGTGTACACTATGATCACCCCAGTGCTCAATCCTTTCATCTACACCATTAGGAACAATGAAGTGAAAGATTCTGTACGCAGAATGATTGGAAGAAAGATGCTAGCTCTCCCCTGTGTTAAAAGGAATGGGAATTGATCACAACCTACTATTGATATGATAGAAAAATGCGGGTTAGACAGTATCACCACCAGATGGATCCGTAGCTGGCTGACTGGCCGTACTCAGCATGTGGTCCTCAATGGAACCATCTCTACATGGAGGGAAGTGTGTAGTGGGGTGCCCCAGGGCTCTGTTCTGGGCCCAGTGCTCTTCAACATCTTCATCAACGATCTGGACGAGGGGATAGATGGGGAACTCATCAAATTTGCAGACAACACCAAGCTGGCAGGAATAGCCAACACTCCAGAAGAAAGGCTTAGGATACAGGAGGATCTGGACAGACTAGAACACTGGGAACTATCTAACAAAATGAAATTCAATGGTGAAAAAAGTAAGGTTCTACATTTAGGCAAGAAAAACCAAATGTACAGGTATAGTATAGGGGGTACCTTGCTCAATAGTAGTAACTGTGAGAGGGATCTCGGAGTCCTAGTGGACAATCATTTAAATATGAGCCAGCAGTGTGCTGCAGCTGCCAAAAAAGCCAACACAGTGCTAGGCTGCATTAACAGAGGGATAGAATCAAGATCACGTGAAGTATTAATACCACTTTACAATGCCTTGGTAAGGCCACACTTGGAATATTGCATCCAGTTTTGGTCAACATGATGTAAAAAAGATGTTGAGACTCTAGAAAGAGTACAGAGAAGAGCAACAAAGATGATTAGGGGACTGGAGGCTAGTATATATAAGGAACAGTTGCTGGAATTGGGTATGTCTAGTTTAACGAAGAGAAGGACGAAGGGGGACATGATAGCAGTGTTCCAATAACTCAGGGGCTGCCACAAAGAAGAGGGAGTCAAGCTATTCTCCAAAGCGCCTGAAGGCAGGACAAGAAGCAACAGGTGGAAACTAATTAAGGAGAGAAGCAACCTAGAACCAAGGAGAAACTTCCTGACAGTTAGAACAATTAACCAGTGGAACAACCTGCCTCCAGAAGTGGTGAATGCTCCAACACTGGAAGTTTTTAAGAAGAAAAATGGACATCATTATTATTATTATTATTATTATTATTATTATTATTATTATTATTATTATTATTATTATTATTATTATTATTATTATTATTATTATTATTATTATTATTATTATTATTATTATTATTATTATTATTATTATTATTATTATTATTATTATTTCCAAGCAGAGTTCCTGAAGATGAAACTTTAAACTCTAGGTTCTAAACTTTTATGTCTTTTGAAGGACTCCTCTATCTGCATTCCTTCCACTTGGAGGAATGTCAGAAATATGAACCAATATGGTTGAAATATTTCACCATGCCTACTATAACAAAGAAGGAAGTTATGAGTAATGTTCAAGAGGAAGGCAACATGTTCTTTTCTGTCTATGGCAATTCTCAGTCATCCAGGTCATGGTTGTCCCAAAGGTGCTTTTTTAGGAGGCAACTGGACTTTCTTGTTAACAACCCACTCCTTCCACCTCCTTTACTCAGGTGTTATTGTGAGGGGAAAGGGGGAGGAGAGAGTTCCTGGTACATTCTCTTGTGGTCCTGGAGAAAAGTCAGGGTAGAAATCTAGCAAACAAGGAAAGATATCACTCATTCATTTCTATCATTCTTCATAGCTGTGTAGCACTATCTATAGTGTATAATGTATAGACATTGTCTATATAAAATTAGTAATTGCTATGTGGTTTTTATGAGGGGAGCAAATGGAACCCAGAAATTTGTGGGAATTGGTGTTGAAGAAAGAGATCACCAGCATTCATTCTTACACGCACATAATACACAATACTAAGTTCAAGCACAAGACTCAAATCTGATGGTGCCTTGTTCCCTCATCTCTCATCACTATATTTCAATTACATTCTCCAATTTGCATTTTCCAACTAAGATAGATTCAGGCATTCCAGATTCTTCCTTCCAAATGAACAAATCCTTCTTGGCTAAAAACCAAACCTGCTTATAGTTGTGAAGATTTCCCCCCCCCCTGTTTGATGTCTGTGGAGATTCTCAGTCATCCAGGTCATGGTTGTCCCAAAGGTGTTTTTCAGAAGGCAACTGAACTTTCTTGTTTTTCCTCGAAGACATTTTGCTTCTCATCCAAGAAGCTTCTTCAGCTCTAACTGGATGGTGGGGAATGGAAGGATTTATATTCCTTGCAAACAGCTGTCATTTGTATTCTTTTAGAGAGTCATTGAGGTCATTTGGAGATTTATCTGTGTTCTTAGGGTCACCTGAGTAGTGCAAATGTGTGTGGAGCCTTTTTGGCTGCAGGATGTTCAACAGTGAAGGGACCCAGGGCAGAAAACAGTATAATTTACACATAAGAGAACATATCTGTAAAGCTTTACATATGTTACAAATACATGAACTCTTTTTATATGAAGTGAACACATAGAACCCAGAAAATGGTAGGAGTGAGGAACAGAAAAAAAAAGTGTCTCAAAATTTACTGAGTTCTTCAAACTATCTTGGAAGACTTAATAATATATAGAAGACTCTACTTCTGGGAATGGCATTTGGAAGTTAATCCAAAGAGAACTGGGCAATAGTCATGCTGATTCAAGATAATCTACTCTTGCCATTAATCTTTGGATACTAATGGAAATCGAGAGACCTTTTCAACCTTCTGTACAAAATGAAGCATTGTCTCAGTGAAGATTTCACACTTTCTCTTTTTGCAGTAGGAGAAGAATGGGAATTAAACCAACTATTAAAAAAAATGCTTAAAGGTTTATTCTTGTTGGTGTGCCTCCAGAGGACTTCCTATTTGGGAATGGCCCTTGACATTCAATCTAAACCATATCAGTCTTCAGTATATTCTAGGTATACTGCTAAGATACTCATGGGAAATTAAATCAAACATCCTTAGAGACTGTATTCCAAGTTTCTATAGAGAAGAAGTAAATAAACCTTCTATGATGCCTACCACTACATGCTCTTTAAATGTCAAGGATAATATTTCTAAGAAGGCTACCGTTTCCCCCTGAACACATGATGAATCATTTTCTATGTTTCTTGAAAACGTTGTCTTCATAAATGGATAGAGAGATGGAATGAAAGTTGCTTGGAGAAGATAAGGCAGGTAATGAAGTAAGAACAATCTAAGGTAAAAGTGGAGAGTTCTTTAGATCCACTATTTCACTACAAAATCAACTATGACTTCTTAGCATATAATCCACCCCTACAAACAGAGAGAAACATCTTAGCTTTTATATTTCTATAGCTGTTTATTTACTTCCATATTTCTATCACAACCAAAGTTTTGTTTTTCAGTATTTTATTCCTCTCTTCTTTAGATAATTAACAATGCAAAGTTCCTGCAGAGAATGTAGCCTGTGGTCCATTGGCCTCACATATCATTTGTTTAAAGAAGTTTTCTAAAACAATGCATATTTATGTACATTATGTTCATAAAAATAGATGTATATTTTTATAAAACATCTGTTGAGCATTCCTTGCTATTAATATGAGCAATGAAGGGTGAATAGCTAACTTTTGTTTAATGTATTGGTTCAAAGATACAACATTATGTAAGTAAACATTCAGATGGAGTCTAAATTTATTTCTAAGGGTCCTTGGTGCTCTGTGTGCTTGGTTGTTTTCTTGGGATGTTTCATTATCCAAATTAAGTAACATTATCAGTGCTAGTATTTATTTATTCCCATTCTTGAGGGCATCACAAATGAAGATTGGGATAGGGATTCCATACCAGTTACATTATTAAGTCTGTCACAATGAATTGACTTTGTATCATGATGTGTTTCAATAAAGTATGTTTTTAAGCCTTTTCCTTTGGTTGCTTACAAGTCATCCTTTGTCCAGAGAGCTCACCATAGGTCAATCACATCCTATACAGAGAATACTATACTATGACGTCCTAGCATAGAGACATATCCACCCCCTCCCCCCAGAGAAACATCTTGGCTTTTATATTTCTAGAGTCCTTTATTTCTATCATACCCCATGTTTTGTTTCTCAATATTTTATTCCTCTTTTAGATAGATAGATAGATAGATAGATAGATAGATAGATAGATAGATAGATAGATAGATAGATAGATAGATAGATAGATAGATAGATAGATAGATAGATAGATAAGCTTTATTCTCATTTTTTACTGTGGGCACAATGGCACACATTAAAAATGAAATTTAGTTCCTTGCTCTCAAAGTGTAAACATACATAACACACATTTAAACATACTATATACAACATATGTATAGATCTATACCCTTACATATAAGTAACATATAAATATTAATCACTGTCCATCTTGAATATATAATGGAAGGAGGAAGCTTTAGAGTTCACAAGGTTAATACTGTATGGTAATTAACAATGTAAAGAAAGTTCCTGCACTTTATGGAACTCTTGCCATCCCAGATTTCTCAAATTCTAATCTAAATAAAAACATTTTATCTGTAGGCTATATCCTGCAAAGAGGTCATTATATTTTTAAGATTTCCCAAATGAGAAATATCCATAGTGACAAATTTCACACATGACAATAATCTCTAATAGTGTTTCTTTGGCCATGGTATCATGTGTTTAGGGAGTCCAGTGATGGGCCTTTAGAAATCATAACTGATACTCATATATATATATATATATATATATATATATATATATATATATATATATATATATATATATATATATATATATAT